ATTCCCTGTGAAAATTAGAGGGAAATAATTATCCTGTGTTTTTCCTGAGTTGGGTTTTCCTTTGAACACTTGCTTACTTCCTTTGATGACATTAAGAGCTCTGGTCCTTGTGTCTGTGGTGTGTTTTTCTGAAGCATTTCTTCCCTGTTTTGCCTGTGCCCTAAGGAAGACAGATCAGAGACATTGCTGGAATTCCTTATGAGGAAGAAATTCCAGAATTGCTCTAGGGAAAGTGGAAAATGGATCGTAAGCACCAGATTCACTTAATGTTGCATATTAATGTGAATACTTTAAATATGAAAATCATGAGGTAGGCCCAACTAAAGACATCATCAAAAGTATTGTAGATAGATGAGCATAGAAATATGGCTGTTGTGAAGTCAAACAAAGGAAAACATTGAAAACGAAGGTGCAGGAAGTAGTAGGGAATGCATTATGATTGGGAAAGGAAAGCAGATGTGAAGCAGAATAGATCTAAATGCCAAAATAGCATGTACAAAGACTAGGAAAAAGAATTAACAGGAAGCCGTAACCGGTTTGGCTCAGTGAATAGAGCATCGGCCTGCGGACTGAAAGGTCCCGGGTTCAATTCCGGTAAAGGGCATGTGTGCAAGAGGCAGCTGATTGATGATTCTCTCTCATCGATGTTTTTAACTCTCTATCCCTCTCTCTTCCTCTCTGTAAAAAATCAATAAAATATATTTTTAAAAAAAGAATTAACAGGAAGAATTAAGAAAACTAGGAATGGTAAAGTCAGTAAGAAGTTCTGAATAAGTGTTTGCTATGCAAGAAAAACATTAGACTGCATTTAAGCATTTTCTACTCATCTTATTTTCTTGGGATATGTAATTTACATTATTTGGAAAGAGGTTGTTTTCTTGGTTATAGTATCTTGATACTAATCTAAAAACTTCTTATTAGATTAAACTATTACTGTTCATCTGTATTTAAAAATGTTACATGCAGATTATAATAAGCGTGGCGAAGAAGATATTACATTTTTAAAATAATTTTTCCTAATTGTAAAAAATTTGCAAAATATGGAACAATATAGAGAATGAAGTAAAAAGCTCTATTATCCATTGTCTTCACGTGTTTTTTAAAAAAAAGTATTTTTAAAAAGCAGTTTTAGGTTCTTAGCAAAATTGAGCAGAAAGAACAGAGCGTTTCCATATATACCCCCTGCCCTACACATGCATAACTTTCTCCACTGTTCACATGCCTACCAGAGTGGTATATTTATTACAAATTAATGAACCTACGTTTTCACATTATTTTCACTCCAAGTCTGTTGCTTACATTAGTGTTCACTCTTCTGTTGTACATTCTATGGGTTTAGATAAATGTATAATGGCATGCATTTATCATTGTAGTATCATACAGAATATTTTTACTGCCCTAAAACCCTCTATCCTCCATCTATTCATTCTTCCCAAATATCCCTCATCCCTGGCAACCACTGATCCTTTCCTGTCTCCATAGTTTTGTCATTTCCAGGATATCATGTGGTTAGAATCATACAATCTTTCCAGATTGGCTTCTTTCCCTTAGTATTATTCACGTAAGGATCCTCCATGTCTTTTCATGGGTTCAGAGCATTTCCTTTTAATACGGAATAATGTCAATTTCATAGGCAAATGGGAGCCTGCGTGTAAAGTACAGTGTTCAAGGTGATTGAACCGGAGTAAGTAGCTTTGTCAAGTATAGCCTACACTGTATGTCTAGTGCCTGTAGCTTAGCTAAGAGATTGAATGGGAAATTTTTCTAATTCTATGAATAACCAAATTTCTACCAACTGTTGATGAATTAGTTTTTTTTTAATTCATTTTAACTTTTATATTTTAGCCCTTTTTAATTCCCCAAAATTGATTGTAGTCATTTTAATTGTGGACTGCTTGTCTATATAAGGCAAATGTTTCTTTTCCTAAGCACACCAAATCATTTCATTCCAAATTCATACTCTTAGCATAACTTATCTATAATAAGGACCTCAATGCAACACCAGCCAAGTAGTATTTCTATGACCCCACTACTCATGGAATTGTTAAAAAGTTTTTCTTCTCATCCCTGTTTTATCTGATGCAATTATCCCTGCCCTCAAACATTTAAGGGTTTAGTATCTACACTATCTGTATACTTTTCAGGTATCTATTTCTCTCGAACTGGTGTTGAGACTATACAAAAAAATGAATATTTTAAGTGTGCTCAAAACAAAGCCTGGGTATTAGTATCTCATGGTTGCACAGACACATTTTATACTCTTAATTTGGTTTTTAACTTCACTGATCATGAAAAAGAACTTCAAAAAGACCATATTAGAAACAAATTTCTAATTTTCACCCCTCTTTAGCACTAGGTTGTGCGCTCTGCTGAAAATTTGATCAGACTGATCTAGTTTCACTACTAATAACTACTGATAGTCCCAGGAGCGGCCTCTCAGTGGCTGCCAGGTGCTCTTTGCTACTTGTTAGCTAGCTGTGACCCAGCAAACTATTGGCATTTTATAACTGAGGAGTCTAATTTGGATACTGACATGTGTCATTGGGCGACACTGGAATTATACAGTGATTATCTCAGGAATAAACAGATTTTTTTTTTTTAGGATCCCACAGGACTCTAAAGACCTGAGGTTTCTCTGGTCACTGATATTGGGATTTAAGGACAGATGTTGCAGGGGTTGGGGTGGGGCGGGGATTTTGGATACAAGCTACTCACCAGTGCTAAATCGCAGCAGCTATACAGAGTTTTTAAAAGACTCCTCTTCCAGCCCTCTACCATCTTTTTATTGTCTATTCACTCACCTTGCAAGGAAATAAAAAGAAACATCAAAATTAGTTATGATGTTTGTTATTGTCTCTGCATATTTATCTATAATCTTTTGAGAATTTGTTTTGTTAAAAATAACAAACAGCAAAAATATATCACCTGCAACTAAATGGACTAGGTTATTTTTTTTTTTTAAATCACCCTTTATATATAGGGGTTAAGAATCAGTGTGAAGGAATTGTTTTTGGTAGCATGCATGTTAAACAGTATAGTGTTTTTTTTGTGAGATGCTGAATCTTAAGGATTCTGAAGGATGCTAATGCTTAAATAGGTTATTTTAAAGGGATATCTTATATTCTTTCGATGTCTTGATTGGATGACACCAAAGAATTTATAAGTGCTTTGTGCTTTATCTCATTTATTTAAAAATATGTATTGAGTACTTCTTCAGGCTGGGGGAGCATCCTTGTTGTTCAGACTTGGAGTGAGGCCTGGAGACCTGGTCTAGCCTGCACCACTGGTTTGGCTCTAGGTCCAAGATTTTATAAGCCACAAGGAATCACCTGAGGCTCTGTTTCTTCTTAGGTAGGCAGGAGGGTGATACTGACACTAGCAGGCAATTATGAGGCCTCACAGTTTCTATGGGGAAAAATCCCAAATAATATGCTTTTCGAGATGAAATTGGCCATCATGGTCAATGACTCATGCTATATGGTTGGGAGTGATTAATGGAGGGACAGGGTGTGTGGGATATGTGTGCTTAAGAATCACCACTAGGATTTGTTTGTTTGTTTGTTTGAAACTACAGGAATATTCCAATTTTTGTATCCCATATGAAATACTCTGGGGATGAGCCACACCTCCACAGGGAGATACTGCTACCAAAAGGAGCATGGCACAGTCCTCACATGTGCTAGGGCAGAGAAAGAGTTGAGAAGCAAATTTTATAGGAAATGAAATTTAACTTGAAGTTAGGAGATGTTTCTACCAGTCAATTAGATACATATCCGCTGTCAATAACATGCTTTTCATCTAAGAGTAACTTCAACAGATGTCTACTCTCTTATGCTGCTTAGTATAATTCTCATTTTGAGTGTTCGGCAGTTTTGGAATGGGGAAAGAATCAATGGCCAGAGCAACTAGATTTGCAGAGGTTTTCTCTTTTTATGACAAATACAGGAAGTGTTTTTTATGATAATGAAGAAAATAGTCATTTCTGCATGTGCTATCAATCTTTAACAATCAAAAATTCACTTGGCACGAGAAGTGGTGTTGCTGTACAGAATTGTGGTCATTGTTACATTGTTTTGTTTACTGTAAACCTGGCTCAATATTGGTAAATATAGTGTAACAGAAACGGAACTGTTGTGAGCTATCTGGGCACTGGTCCAAAATATCATTAGAAATACTGCCTCAGACTAATTTGGGTTTATGAATAATATTTTGTTAACAGCTCAACTGAAATGGAGCCACATGGTGTAGCTTAAAAATTCTGAATCCACAAAATAATGAGAGTACTATATATACTGCGTACTTAATATTCTGTACTTGAGTGATAAATTTATATGTAATTTTGGGTTAACTTTTAAACAATAAGCACCCAAATACTTAATATAATCTGATACCTTTAAAGTTTACTTAAAACTGTAGTTTGCTGTTCATTATAAAGTAAAATATTACTGGCTTAAAAATCAAAACTAGAGAATAAGGAAAGGTTGCCGAACAGGTATTAAGATGGACAGTCAACACCTGTTTTGGCATATGGATGTGCAAACAGCTGAAGTTTATATTACACACAACAAAAAATTGAAAGGACATAAAGATGTTGGAAAGGTTCAATGAGTTAATTCATTTATTTTACAAATGAAAGATTATAACTATATCTTAAAATAAGTTATAATGATTATTAATGTTTGGTTATAAATTATTAATTATATAAGATATAACAAAGGGGATGAGGTTATGGTGAGATGATACAGGACACAAATTACACAAATTTATATTTAGACATTTCTTGCCAAGAAAGGATGTATTTGTCTTTTTCTTTGTGTGCTACTTTAATTAGTTTAAGTTCTTTCTGAACATATAATGTCTAAACTCCCACTGAAAGGCTATGGGAAGATTTGTGTCACTATTAAGGGTGTAAAATATTTTGTAATATAAAGGGGTGTAATTACTTAAAGAATTAATTTTAAATATTCCTCTTTTTAATAAATATTTTATTTATTTTCCAGGTTAGCACTCTACGTATATGAATATCTGCTCCATGTAGGAGCTCAGAAATCGGCCCAAACATTTTTATCAGAGGTATGTTTTATGTTTTCTGCACTGTATTTTGATAACTTATGTAAACAAGTGAAAAATGCACTGTAACTGTTATTTGAAAGAAATTAATCCTTATATATTATATACTGAGTATGCAGTTATCAGTATGGGTAATGTAATCTTTGTAGATTATCTGTTAACAATTTTAGTATCCCCAAATGCCATTTCCATACCAATAACATATTCAATTGTCCAGCCATTTTCTGCCTTATAAATGGAAACTAATGTTGGCCTTGGCAAAAATAATCAAGAAAGTAAATTTGCTTTAAAAAAAAAAGCAAAAACCACCCTGTCTCTAGTTCTAGCAATATTTTATTCTGGCATTATTCACAATTTTAAAAATATGTTTTTTGTTTTGTTTTAATTTTGTATGGATTTCAGCTAAAAAACATTTAATAATATTATTTCTCTTTCTACGTCTCTCCACATTTTTTTAAACATTGAATTTGAGTTTTCTTGCAATGGTTCTTTTTCTTTTCAATTTATTTTATGACTAGAAGCCTGCTGCACGAAATTTGTGCATGGAGGGTGGTTCCCTCAGCCCAGCCTGCATCCTCTCCAATCTGGGATCCCTTGAGGGATGTCTGACTGCTGGTTTAGGCCCGATCCACAGGCCACTGGCTCCTAATCGCTCACCTGCCTGCCTGCCTAATTGTCCCTGCCAGCCTGGTCACCCCTCATGCTCCTCCCTACCTCCCCCGCCCCTGCTGGCCTGGTTGCCCCACACAGCCTGCTGTTAAGTCATTTAGTGATTTGGTCATCTCTCATTAACCCCCCCTGCCAGCCTGTTCATAGGCAGCCCTCTTGTGAGGGCCTGATAGTCTATTTGCATATTATCTCTCTATTATATAGGATGAGGTTGAGTATTTAATTTTTTATTATGTGCAAGGCACTTTAAATATATTATCTCTGATTCTTATAAGAAATTTTCAAAGTAAATTATATTATTCCTGTTTTACTAGTGAGAACAAACAGGGTCTAAAGTGTTTATATAACTGGCTCATGGTCACACAGCGTAGTGTTGTGGAACTAGAATTCAAACCTAGGTCTATGTAAGTGTCAAAGCCTCCAGCTTCCCCTAGTGTCTGCACTGTCTAGCATGGTAGCCACTAGCCATATATGCCTTTTTGATCTCTTGAAATAGGACTAATCCAATTAAGAAGTACATAAGTGTGAACAAAATAAAATAAAATATCAATAACTAAAAAATTTTGATCATACACTGAAATGGTAATATTTTGGATATATCGGGTAAAATAAAAAAAATTGTTATTATAGTTTATTTTACCCTTCTTTTTTAATATGGTTAGTAGAAAATTTAAAATCACATATACAGCTCCCATTTGTGGTTCATGTTTATATTTCTGTGTAACAGTGCTGCTCAAAATCATGTTGTCTCTAGTGATCTCACAGTTTGTCCACCACCAGATCAAGGACACAACAGGCACCCCCTTTAGAGTTCCCCATCTGAGGTACAGTCTTCTTGAGATTCACTTGTTTTCCAAACAAACGCACAAGCAAACAAACATTCACAGCCCCACAATCTTGTATCTAATTAATTAGTAAATATGAACTATTAGGGCCTCTTTGCAATTAAGGAATTTGAGAAGTTTTCTCACAGCATATAAGTCAGTTGTTTTACCATAGATGGAATACATTCATTGTAATAAAACTTTGATTTCAAAGTTAATTCAAATCAAAACAGAAGTTTAGTATGTCTTAACTTATTAAATTATTAATTAGAAGGCTTTGAGCCCAGCCAGAATGTCTTAGTGGTTGAGTGTCTATCTACAAAACAGAAGGTTTTTATATTTGTTCAATTCCCGATCGGGGCACATGCCTGGATTGTAGGGAGTGCAGGAGGCAGCTGATCGATGATTCTCTCTCATCATTGATGTTTCTATCTCTCCCTCTCTCTTCCTCTCTGAAATCAATAAAAATATATTTTAAAAAAGATAATCATAATAACAGTTTAAAATTTGTGCTTAGGTTTAATGAGTTAGTATACGCATATAAAGTACTTAGAAAGGCCTACCATATACTAAATTTTCACAGTGTTATTTCTTAAGTTCTTGGCCAATTCTTTTTTTTTTTGTTTTTGTGTGTGTGTGTGTGTGTGTGTGTGTGTGTGTGTGTGTGTGTGGTCCAAGTATCTTGTCATTTGGACAGCCCACATTCCTCCTACCTTCTGAGGTTACTTCTTCTATCAACATGGCTCCAGCTCTAATCCCTACTATTATGAGTTCCCTCAAGTCCTCTCTAATGTTTTGGGGCCTTGCCAGGGGAGGGGCTTTGAGTTCTCTTGCTATAATTTCTTGCTCCTACTAAGTATTACTTCCCCATTGCTTCTCCTTCTTATGGCTGGTACCTTTTCTTTGCCTGAAGTTTTCTATTTCCTTACAGCCTCAAAGCTCCACTAACTCATTGCTCTCGTGTATAAAAGATTCTTACTGAAGGTTGGAAGAAAATTGAATATTAAGCATTGTATAGTACAGACAGCAACATTAACTAAAATATTAGACATAATTATCCTTAAGTTCTTTGGTCTCTTTGTCACTGGGACTTTCTCACTAGCTCTTGTCTGAGGGCTCTGTTTGCCTTCCATCTTGTTGGCTCTTCAAAACTTCTCCCATTTTCTCCTTTCCTGAATCTTCCCACATCCCCCTCCCCACCTTTTTCCTGAGAGAAAATTAGCAATCTCCTAAATTCTTGCTATTTTATTATGTAGAATATAACTATTTATTCTCTACTTTCAAACCATTCCTAGGGAGCTTCTGCCTCTCTAGGTAAAAAAATAAAAACAAAAATTGAAAGAATTTATCGAGGAGCTTTTTAAATAAAAGATACTTCTCTTTAAGATGACTTTTACTTCCTTCTAAAGTAAAACAGCACTATTCAATAATACAAATTTATGTGATTATGGAAATGGTCTCTAATTTGTGCTGTCTAGTAAGTTTTCTACTAGCCACACATGACTATTAAGCATTTGAAAAGTGGCTACTGCAATTGAGGAATAGTCAATTAACTTAATTTGAAATTTAAAAAGCTACATCATGGTCACTGAGAATCATTAAACAGCACAGTTTTGGGCTACTAGCTTCAGAGTAGAGACAGATTTTTCTTCCTGTTATATATCTATTTTAATTTTTTGAATTAAAATGCAAAAAAAAATTTTTTAACACATTTAGTTTAGTGTATAGATGCACCCATACTTCTATACATGGAAGTTTTTAGAAAATTGGTGGGAACAGCAGGTTATATCTAAATTAAGTCTCAGGAATTTTGTCCAGGAACAAATGTATACATAGGTATACAAGCTCTTAACACAGGAACTAGCTTTATTCTTTTATGGTATTGATTTTTTTGTTTTCAAAAATATGAAAGGACTTAGGAATATTCTGAGAATTTGGGTCCTGTGTGTTTCAAACCCGCTGCTGTGCAGTTGGCGATGCTGTTGGAAGGGGTCTAGATCACCCTAAGAGGTCCCTCACTGCAAGACCAGAACCGCCAGAAAGGTGCTGCTGACCTCCAGAAGGGCCCACCCCGGCTGCTACTGCTGCTACAGCCGGCAACGGCTTCATTTATGGGGTGAGGGGCAGGAAGCTTCTCTTCTTCCTCCTGCCTTTTGATCCCCTGCAAGTGTCTCCTGATGGCAGAACCTAACAGGAAACCAGCTGGCAAGAAACCCAGGAAATGTCATTTTCAGAATCCTAGCACCAGTGTAGAATGGAGTAGAGAAGGGTGGGTGTGGGGCCGAGAGGTAATAGGTGAGTGACTGAAAGCAAATAATGATGAAAAGTTAAGAAGATGTGTGTGTGTGTGTATACGCTCATGTGAGTGTCCCTGTATGTTTATCATTTTTTTCTTATTTTACATGAATGTTAGTTTATTTCAAACACTATTCTGTGCTTTGATTTTTGTTTCACTTGTAAGATTTCAGTCATTTTATGTAGGTTTGTGAAACTTCATAATTGTCTTTTGTGGTTATAGGATATTATTCTATGAAATGTGCCATGATGTTTATATTTTTACCAGCCCTCTACTTATGAACATTTAGGTTATTTCCAGGTTTTTGCAATTACAGACAGTGTGTGTGTGAGTTTGTGTGCATGTATTTACACAAATGACTATATATATATATATATGTCATATATATATATATATGACAAATTACTAGAAGAAGAATTGCTATATTAGATAGTATATACATTTGTAATTTGTAATTATTATTTATAAAGCACATGGCATGTCTTTCCTCCACCCAGATGATTCAGTGTTTGGTTTTGCATTTATATAGAAATGCTAAAAAGACTAGGTCATATGATACAGACATAGCTTCAAATCAAAATATAGCAGTGGAAATGGGCTTAGAGCTTTACCTACAAGTTATAGGAGAATACAACTTTTAGCTGGGCAAATATGGAAGGAAGAGAAGTGAATGATTAAATAAAAAATAAAAAAAGCCCTAGAATACTTTGAGGCTGGAATTTGAGAGAAATTGATAGCTGCCACTCAAACACTTAAATAAGCCTGAAGCCCATGAAACAGTACAACAGACAATGCCTCTTCATAAATAGCAGAATTGTTTCTAAAATGACTATTGATATTTAGTGGTATTTTCTGGCCATTTCCTTAACCCCATCCACATTAATGCATCTTAGCTAAAAAAATTAAACTATATAGATGAATATAATTTTAAGTGAAAGCCTTTTATTCTTTTCTAGAAATCATAGTTGTAAGTTTGGTGTGATTTTTTATATATGAATACACCCAATGCATATATATATATATATATATATATATATATATATATACTTTTTTTTAGCAGAAAAAAATTTATATTAGGTATATTTTTCTACAACCTTCCAAACTTGCAACTTGAAAACCAATATAGCATTATCCTTTTTCTATGTAGGTATATTTTATTCTTTTTAATGATTCCACACTGTTGTGTAGTATGTATCAAAATTGATTTCTATTCACTTTTGGTGAATGTTTTTCAGTTTTTTTCTAACAGTACTCAATCAATGAATGTGCCTTGGTTTTCTATAGATCAGGGTTCTGTGTTCCTATAATTTCATGCTTTCTCTAAAAAAGTAATACCTTGAGTATTAATTAGTTTAGAGACCAAAAACAAACAAACAAACAAATGAAACCCATTCACTATGGAAATATATTCCTATGTAGAATCGTCTCCTTTGGAAATACCCAAAGCACTTATTGTTTATTCCTTAACTATAAAAGGACAGCTTTTGTGTTAAATTTAATATGATGGACCAAAATTTTGGCTGCTTCTGCCACAGCTTTGCAATTCAAAGTGAGAAAGATGAACTTCACTCACTATATAGTGAAGAATATGAGGATGAAAACATGATATATGTGAACCATTTTTAGTTTCTCTGAGGAACAGTAAGATGTAATACTGTTTAAAATACAAATGCGTTCCCTTTAGACTTCCTCTGATGAAAGACCATATCAAACCTAAATCATATAGGTATTTCCCTGAGTGCTTTATGTCCTGAGGAAGCTGGTGATTGACTGTGGGCATTGTGTAAGTGCAGGAGGGAGGTGTGTTGTAGTGGGGCTCAGACTGAATCTAAGCCCACCCCCAGCACAGGGTGGCATTGGGACCTAGTCATGCCACCTTAACGCTTCCATAAGTCACTGTCCGTTCTCCTTGTAACTGAGGATAGTACTGTGTACTGTAACAGTCACAATATGTAAAGTCAAGATGAACTGAGATGAAATGTAAAGATGCTACTTTGAAAAACTTGTTTAAGTGATTAGGATAATTCGAGGGATTCGGAATATTAGTGTGTTTGGGGCACATCTGTAAGAAGACACCAACTAGTGCAAAAAATGGTTTCAGAAAAAAAGTGAAAGATGAGATACAGGCTTTTGATTAAATTACAACTTTAGTAGTCCATCAGAGTTGTGCACCTCAGAAGACTCATTAAGTACTATTTCTTATTTTTTCATGAACCAAGGAGATGTATTATGAATCATTGGAAATTATCAGATAAAAAGTAGCATAAATATAAAAATTATTGGTTACTACTTAGGAGAATGAAAGGATCTGGCTTACCATATTTTCCGGTGTATAAGACGACTTTTGAAACGGGGAGGAAAAAAAAAAAAAAAAAAAAAAAGTCAGGGGTCGTCTTATCTGCCGAGTATATCCTGAAAAACATCTTGATATGCCGCTAAACGAATTTTCCAACTCGATCCCGAAAATCATCTGGATATGCCGCTAAATGAATTTTCCAACTCGATCCCGCACCAATCACTGCAAGGCTGCTCCGACCGCCTCTCTAACTCAGCCAATCCAAGCAGGCTTTTTATGCATGCAAATTATACATGTTCTGTACCCAAAGCTACACTGTGTTCTAGTGATAAAAAGCCTGCTCAGATTGGCCAGAGTCAGAGAGGCGGTCTATTAAAAAAAGAACTGGTGTTGCCTCGGAAGTGGGGGGTAGTCTTATACAGCGAATATAGGCCTAAACCTATGTTTTAACTCTAAAAATTGGGGGGTCGTCTTATACGCCGGAAAATACAGTACACTGACTATAACACATTCTGATTTATTCTTATTTAGTCTTTATAAACTCAAGTTCATGAATTCCTAGAGTTTCTCCTTTTATCTCTATTTTAAAAATGGCTATCACATGTATACTTTTCTAATCTTTAGAAATTTTCTCTTTGGGTTTTTGAGAGGAAATTATTTGTCTACTTTAAGATTCCCATCGGTTTCCATGTTGCATTCTTTAGAACTCTAATAAATGCAGCCAGTTTCAGTTATTTTAATTGCTTTTAAGTTTTTCCATCTCTTCCTTAGAGAGGTTTTTTTTCCCTTCCTCATCCCCAGCCCCCCATTTTTCTTTCTTTCTTTCTTTCTTTCTTTCTTTCTTTCTTTCTTTCTTTCTTTCTTTCTTTCTTTCTTTCTTTCTTTCTTTCTTCTTTTTCTTTTTCTTTTTCTTTTTTTTTTTTTTTTTTTTTTTTTTTTTTTACATTTAGGGCCCCCTTCTGAGTTCCTATTCAAAAACTTTTTAAAAAATCCTTTTGCTATAAGAAATCTTAATATCTTCCATCGTAGGTGGTAGAAAGGAATCCTTGGCTGTATAATTATAGTTGTTTTCTTCCTAGTAATATAAGGGCCCATGGACATATTTTGTTAATTGAGTGTTGTTAAATAATTTTTAGTTACTTAAACTAAAAAAAAACTAAGGCAAATACATAAGATTGTGTTTGAGTTTGGATCAACTTTTTAAAATTATAAGCCACTTCTTACTGTTTTCCTGCTCTCTTTATCCTCCCTTGACTGCTTTATTTTCTTTTGTAACATTTGTCACCTTCTACTTCTAATATAAGTACGTACAATCTTTATTGGGGGAGGGATTCTTTGTTTATGGTCTGTCTTCTTAACTAAAGTGGAAACTCTCTGAATGCGAAGATTTTTACCATTGTTTACTGATATCCAGTGTTTAAAAAAGACACTGTATAAATACCCGCCCTGCTTTCCAATTTCTAAATTTAATTTGTAAACAGTATTTATGACTTTTAATTTTGGGGGGGTTAATTGCCATAGTTTAAAATTTTTATTATAGTGGACTTAGACTCATCTGAGTATAAGCAATTGGAAGGATAATATCAGCATTTTTGTAAAAACTCTTATTTTAGGGAAGACATATGCCTTCTTATTCAAAAATTCAATCCTTAAGGCGTAATTTAGAGTGTGTACATATTAAGCCCAATCTCTTGCAAATTTCTGGGTTAGTGGTGATAACTGATTTTCATGTTAGTAATACCTTTGGTTTTGAAGTGCCTTAACATGCTGAAGTACCTTAAGACCCTGAAATACCTTCTGGAATTCTGGCACAGTGGGGAGCAAATTCAGAAAAAATAATGGTGGCATCTTCTTTCACAGACTATGCAGTCAACAAATTATTCCATAAAATGAGTACTTGAGTAAAGAATACTATGAAACTGATTGAAATCTTATATGTTACCTTAATATTTTAAATGGAAAAATCCTGCTTTGTAAAAGGTGTGGAGAGAGTGTTAGTTGAAAAGTATTTAATTTCTCTTTTATTCCTTTTAGATAAGATGGGAAAAAAACATCACGCTGGGCGAGCCACCGGGATTCTTACATTCTTGGTGGTGGTAAGTATCCTTATTTTATTTTTACCAGATTGGCCATACATTTCAGGATGCCTGCACTAGAGCTGTTTGGGATTCCAGGCTTCTCATTTATTCTTTCTCATTTTCTATAATTATTTCTGAAAGATAGTATTTAAAAAAAAAATTAAACACCAAACTCAAAACCAGCATTAGTGTTACTTAACTTAAAGATATTACTATTGAATCAAGCTGGACTTGAGGCCAGTGTGTGAAATCTCCAACTGTAAGTATGATTCTGTATTAGTCAGTTTGGGCTGCCGTAATAAAATACCATAAACTGAGTGGCTTAAACAACTGAAATTTATTTTCTCACAATTCTGGAGGCTAGACGTCCAAGACCGAGCTGCTAGTATGGTTTGTTTCTGGTGAGAAATCTCTTCCTGGCTTGTAGATGGCTGCCTTCTTATGCGTTCTCATGAACTCTGGATGGGGATGGGGAACACATTGGTGCTAGCTATCCAGCTATCTGGTTTCTCTTTTAATAATGGTTCTAATTCCATCATGAGGGCCCCACCTTCATGACCTCATTTAAACCTGAAGATACTGATGGTGGTCGTGGTGATGGTGAGTTTTTTAGGAGAGGGAAGGATAGTAAAAAAAAAAAAAAAAAAAAAATTAAGATAATTCTATATAGACCTAGAGATAGAGAACTGAACTGTATTGAAGGCCCAGTTGATATCAGAACTTACAGATTTCATTGCAGCACCTGTATACTTAGATATGACTTTTCTGCAACAGCAATCAGTAGTAGGTACTGCAGGTATTTGCATGAACCAGCTAGGCTTTTTTTTTTCTTCTTCCATTTTTTCCTCATTTCTTCAATTAGAAGCATTTCCTGTTCAGAGTCTTATATGCTCATCTCTCGACAGCATATTTAAAAGAAGAAACTAAAGACCTCTTCTAGTGCTCTGCACATGGTTTCCTTGGTACGTTATTAAGTGCCATGATCTTTTTCACCTCTCTCCTGAAAACATGCCTTCCTAGAAGTTCCGTAGTGAATGGAACCGCACTTGGTCAGTTGTGGTTGTGGGTTTCCCTTGTTTGTCTTGTGCGTGTGTGGCAGGAACAGGTGCGGGCCTTTGGTTCAGAGCTGTTCCTGTATTTGGAACAACGGTTCATTGCAGTTAAGCACTATCATTGTGCTGCTTTCCTGGGTCATGAGACCAATGTCTTGTAATATATAGTATTATAAAAGTCCACTTTTCATTTTATGTAATACCTGTTCATAATTCCTAGACCTAGAATGTAAATACTTAACTGTTTGTTAAATGTAATTGAGTCTCTTCACCCTTGCCTTTTGAATGTTTCCAATTATAGGTGTACAAAGTGGCATACGAAACCAGTTAGACATCTGTCCCTATTGGATCAGTGGGCTAACAAACTGAGGTTTTCCATTATTGGATTAATTCTATCGTTGCACGTATTTCCCTTTTACTCCCTTTCTCATGAATTTAACCTAGTCTCACACTGTAGAGGGTTGATAGTAGCTCACTGAATCCTTTGGCTTTTTGCTTCTGTCAGACTTTAGCTTTTTTGGTCTCAGCATCTGGAGGAGCCGCTCTGAAATACAGTCAATAGCATTGTAAGTGAGAGATGTGCTGCTTATAATAGCAGTGCAGGAGGAATACCCACGTTATCTAGGGAGAACTAGAAAAGCCTGAGTGGAGAAAGTGGATCTGAGTTGAGCTGAGAGCTGGTGAATGAAGGGTATTTTGGCAGAGGAATAGTTAGTATGAGGTCTTGAAAGGGATGACCATGCAATCAAGGAGTGACAGGTAGCTTGGACCAGCTGAATTGTAGCTGCACTACTATGAAGTGATAGGATATAAGGCTGGAGACAAAGACAGGAGCAATATTACAAAGTCCAGGAGTACATCAAGGGTTTTGGAATAAAACTCAAATATTTTAAACAAGGTACATAACACGATTAGATTTAGACACTCACTTGGCATTAACATAAAGATGGATTAAAAGGGTTGAGAACAAAGGTAGATTCTAGTTTTCAGGCAATGTAATTGTCCAGTTTTAAGATGATTAGGTGATAGATCCCGGATAGTGAACACTGAGTACAGTAGTTAGAGGTGAAGGAGGAGGTTCTCAGGTACTAGATTTGGATGATGGGATGAACAGGGATGCCATTGACTGAATGAGGAGTATAGAGAGAGAAACGGGGTTTAGAAAAGACCATGATTTAACTGGGAGAGGCTAAATTCCAAGGTTCCTGTGAGAAATTCTGATAGAGATGCCCTATATAACATCAGAGATCTGGGCCTGTGGCTCTGAGACAAGTCCCTCATGGTTTGAGAATGATCAGCATTGACCATACTGCAACCGCCCAGTGTAACACATAAGAGCAGGGTCTGGGGTTGGAACCCTGGGGAAAGTCAACATTTTAGTGTGGATGGAAGAGGATCCTCAAAGGAAAATGATTGGAGAGGAAGGAGGGTAATTGGGAGAGAAAAATGTATGGGAACCAGGAAAGGCATTAGAAGGAAAGATTAAATCCTATAGTAAGTGTAAGTAAACAGACCCAAAGCTGTTTCTGAATGGGGCAGTAAGGTGGATGTGGTGGTCTTGGGAGAGCAGCTTCAGTGGAATGGTGAAAGGGAAATTCAGAAGGCTGCTGCAGTGCGCGTGTGGAGCTCGAGGGTTGCTGAGAGTAGCTGACGTGTGTGGTGGCATGTGTAGCTGTTTCAGGATTAACAATAGAACATGACCTAACACTTTGGATTTTAAAATAGACTAGCTTTGAGCGTGTATATAGATTGCGGGAACAGGGGGAGAGGTTGAAGATGTGTAGAGAGAAATACTCATGCACAAAAATGCAGACTAAAGAAGTACAGGAGAGAGAAGAGGCAAAGGCCTGAGAGAGGAGGAGGGGACAGAGTGTGTGATTTTGCTTTCTGGAACTGTTTTGTCTTGTTTCTGATGTGATTTCCATTATCACTATTTTTTCTTCTCAGTTTGCTCAATGCCCATTGCTGTACTATTTCTCATGCCTCCCATGTTCATTACCATTACCTTAGTCAGATCCCCTTTGAAAACTTAGGTCTTGTTTGTACACTTTAATAAAAGCTCCCAACTCTTTAATGAATTTCTGAAAAAGAAATGCCAAGAAACTTCCCCTTTCCAATTTATGTAACTTTAAAAAACTTGGTATTTAAAGGCTTAATGGCTTAAAATCATGTCTCATTTTTACTTAATTATAGATATAAAACACCTTTTGAAATAACGTTGGGCCAATGTATCTATATCCTGAAATTAAATATATTACATTGCAGGAAAATAAACTAATAACTAAGATTATTATGAGAATTCAGTCTTTTTACCTGGCTCTAGGAGGTCACATCCTGCAGTATGTTAGCACTCTTAACTTTATAGAATGTGATGGGTGACATCAGGAATAGCTAAGAATAACCAAATATCTATATAAAAACAACAGCAATTTAAATCAGTCAACTGGCTCACTGGAATGGTATAACATTTATACTTGTCAGCTGGTTCTTACTCATCTTGTATATCTCTGGCTTGTAATAGATATCACATAGCTAATTATTTATCTGAATTAAGTTAAACTAAGAGCAATATAAGACAATGCAGGTGACAGCTAGGATAGAAGAGGTATAGTCATGATGAGAAGGGAATAAAGAAGTGGTAGCGAAAGAGAAAGCGAAGTGCAGAGGTGGTCAGGCTGCAGAGGAAAAGGAAGATGTGTCTGGGGAAGACATGTGGCATACAGAGCAAAGTGTGCAGAGGAGAAGACTAAAACACTGGTGGAATCTTCACTGAATGCAAGGGATTAAAAGTAAATTGAAGAAAATTTTACTCAATTAATAAGAAACTTCTTCTTAGCCATCCTATATAATAAAAGAGTGATGTGCAAATCAATCCAACGGCAGAATAACCGGTCGCTATGATGCACACTGACCACTAGGGGACAGATGCTCAATGCAGGAGCTGCTCCCTGGTGGTCAGTCTGCTCCCACAGGGGAGAGCCGCTCAGCCACAAGCTGGGCTGAAGGCTGATGCAGAAGAGGTGGTGGGAGCCACTGACTGCTGCAGAGGCAGCAGCACTAAGGATGTCCAACTGCCCGCTTAAGCTGGCATCCCCGAGGGCTCCCACACTGCAAAAGGGCTCAGGCCAGGCTGAGGAACCCTCCCTAGACTGTGTGCTCCCCCCCCCGCAAGTGCACAAATGTTGTGCACTAGGTCTCTAGTACTACCTATAAAAGTACTTTTGCATATACCATTTCTTTGTGTCTATATAAAAACCTGCAAAATGCATAACATATTTCTCTCTTTTCACATAAAGAAGCTAAGATACAAAACTATTTCCTCAGGGTCAGATTTAGAATTAGAACTTCAGCCAGTATTTGTCTCTGCAACAGATATTGTTTCTTAAATACAGAACAGAATTTAGTGCCCACTGTTAATAAGAAATTAATTACAGTTCCCCTTTGGGCATCATGAGCGACTAATTCCAGACAGTAGATATAAATGGGACTCAGGAAAGTTGTCTCTTCTAAGTCTAGTCTATATTGGGGCATCCATGGATCACTGGCAGCGACTGATAGCATGAAGGGATGGTTACCATAGGAGACTCAGGAAATGAGTTCGAGGGCAAGGGTCAAGAGTAGGATAACAGAGTGCTTGCTGTCTTGTCTAGGACAGGTACCTACCATGAGAACTGATGCTGCGTAGACTGCCAGAGTTTTATAAACCTGCCCATAATCAGCATAAGGCATCTCAAAATAAGAACTCAATACCATATTCACATGAGAGGCAAAATAATGTGAGAATTAAAAAGTTTAAACAGAGCTCTTCCATTAACTGTGACACTTAAGCAAGTTATTTAGCCTTTCTAAGCCTCAGTTTCCTCATCCATAAAATGGGAATAATAATAGGCAGATTAAGTGCTGAATATGTAGTAGTTAGTATGTGATGCTTGAATTTAGCACATACTTATTAATACAAGCTATTTTGATACTTTAAAATATGAATTTATTACTAACTCAGAAATATTGTGAGAATTTTGTGATAGTGGGGCAAAATTTGATGCCTTCATTTAAAAAGTATCAAGTAACTCTAAGGAATCAGAGAAGTCCATGTATGTGGAAGGTCTAAGGTGATGAGCAAGTACATGTATATTTTATGAAAAACCCTCCTTAATCTTAGGAATGGGTAATTTTCTTTATTCATTGATCATATAATTTTGGGCCAAAGAGAAATAACTTATTTAGTTGTTAAGAGACTTGAATTTATAATAACATGGCTTGTTCCTCAGGGGGAAAAAAATGTTTTCCCCAAAGGTTTTCTACTTCTGTCAATGTTTATTTTCAGATAGTCCTGAACCTGGCCAGTGGCATATAGGTTATATAATTGAGTTAGCATCCCATCTTCTAGGACATATCTGGTGTGTTTATTCACCTTGTAGACTTCCCTGACAACCATTTTGCTCCCTGTGTTCCCAGGAGATACTGATAAATAGCTAAGTCATTTCTCTCACATCCTCGGGATAGAAGGAAAACAGTTTTGGGATAAGAATTCTCAACTTGGGAATCTTGTGCTTCCTTTTGATTTGTGTGGGGAAAATTTTAATACTACAAGAAGAAATATTTTTATATTTTTCAAGTTTGATTCTCTTTTTTTCATTTGTAAAATACAGATTTTTTTTACTTGTTTCTACTTAAGAATATAGGGACTGTAAATCTAAAGTGTTGTTCATGATGATGAATTCACCACATTTCAAGAATAATAGTTTGGTTCCAAGCTTAATAGCTGTAAGGATTAGAGGAACTGAAAATCATTTTAGCCTCCAACATCTCAGATTGTAGAGAAAAGAATTCAGTGTTTGTTGATTTCTATAGCTTTGTAAAATAGTTTGAAATCAGAAAGTGTGATGCCTCCAGCTTTGTTCTCCTTGCTCAAGATTGCTCTGACTACTCAGAGTCTTTTGTGGTTCCATACACATTTTAGAGTTGTTATTGTTTCTTGTGAAAAATGCCATTGGATTTGGATAGGGATTGCATTGAATCTGTAGATTGCTTTGGGTAGTATGAACATCTTAACAACATTAATTCCTCTGATCCATGGCATGGAATATCTTTCCATTTGTATTTTCTTTGATTTCTTTTATCAGGGTCTTATAGTATTCAGTGGATAGGCCTTCACTGCTGTGATTAAGTTTATTCCTAGGTATTTTATTCTTTTTGATACAATTCTATATCTTAATTTCTCTTTCTGATAATTTATTGTTAGTGTATAGAAACTAAACAGTTTTTCTATATTGATTTTTATATTTTTCAGCTTTACTGAATTTATTTATTAGTTCTAACAGTTTTTTGATAGAGTCTTTAGTAATTTGAATCTTAAAAAAAAAATTTTTTTTTTTTGGTTACTCCTCACCTAGGGATCTTTTTCTATTGATTTTTAGAGAGCGGGAGAGGGAGAGGGAGAGACAGAGAGACAAATATCAGTGTGAGACACATCAATGGTTGTCTCCCAAATGCACCCTGACCAGGGATCGAGCCTGCAGCCAAGGTATATGCTCTTGACTGGAATTGAACCCAGGATCCTTTAGTCCACAGGCCCATGCTCTAGCCACTGAGACAAACCGGCGAGGGCAAATCTTTTATTTTTCTTAGTCCATCTAGCTAAAGGTTTGTCAAGTTTGTTGATTTTTTTCAAAGAACTAACTTTTGTTTTCAATAATTTTTTCTATTGTTTTTCTAGTCTCTATTTCATTGATCACTACTCTGATCTTCTGTTAGTTTTTTGGTTTAATTTGTTCCTTTCTAGTTCCCTAAGTTTTAAAGTTATGTTGTTGATTTAAGATCATTCTGTTTTTAAATATAAGTATTTATAGCTTTAATTTTTCCACTTAGCACTGCTTTTGCTGCATCCCATAAGTTTTTATATAACATTGATATTATATGAATTAGATACTGTGCTTATGTCTTATAATTTAATTTTCTAAACAACTCCATTTTATAAAGGAGGAGATTATGTTTCCAATTTGTTTAAGCAACTTGAGCTAGTAATTAGCAGGGCTGGCTAATCGCCAGTAATACTCTTACACATTTGCTTTTCTGTTTTTGGAATTCCTTGCTCATGCTCATAGTTAATTTTATAGATCGAAGGATGACCAGAATAAGTAGTACAATTATTTTTTCCCAACCAATTTCCTTTTGCTTTTTCTCATTATTCTTGAATAGTAAGATTTTTTTTTAATTTTCAAAATTAATAACCTATTTTGGTAATTAATTGCAAGGGAAAACAAGAGGACATTTATATATTTTTTAAAAAAGTATTTGTTTGACCAATGTGATTTAGTGGTTAGGGTATTGGCTTGTGAGTTGTACAACAAAATTATCTTGAAAAAAATTAATGAATCACTTTATTCTTTAGTGATTAAATTAGGATGGGTTTTTTTTTATACTGTTATAGTTTTTCATGGGAAAATGTGAAAATTATTATAATTGTTTCAATCAAGTTTGCCATGTATACAAACAAGAAAGACAGTTTCAAATTTTAAAAACATTATTTTATCCTTTTAGAAATATCATATTAGCATTTCGGAACAATAGCTACATTATACCCTATCACTGCATGAATATTTTTCTCTGAATTTAAGTCTTTGAAAGAAATATTTCTTCTGAACAAAACACATTTATATAAAAATAATATGTCTTCTATTTTTGCATGGTTATCTCTCATTTGGTGTGATTTTCTTAATGTTACCACAATTATTTTTGTAGTGTATTTTGGGATCTCTACTGTGCAGCTCCAGAAAGACGGGAAACATGTGAACATTCAAGTGAAGCAAAAGCCTTCCACGATTATGTAAGTTCATATATAATTTTACTGATACTTCATCAGTTTTCTTTGTTAATGCTGCTCTTGAAAATGCATTGGGCTATCTATTATTTTCTTTTGGTGCTTAAGACATTGTTGTTGTTGTATTTTTTATGAAAAATAAGCTCATAACTTACAAACTAAGTCACAAGTAGGTTTTGAGTCTTATTGAAGAAGCTCAAGGTAAGAGAGAGTCCTAACTCCACACCATTAAGGATATTTCTTATTGTAAGCATGACTGACTTGTGATATAAGAATTAAGTAAGTAATTATTTATCTCACAAAGTCATAAGAATGATGTAAGTGATATTGCACATAAGATTTTAACTATATATAGAAATATCCTTCTCTTTTTTGCTAATTTTCATTACATATCATAAGAGTTTGAAGTGCCTCAATAACATGAAAATAAGAGTAATTGCAGCCATAAGGCTAAATATCCCTGTCACTAAATTCAGTTCCACAAGTAAAATTTACGTGAATTAAAGGAAATATAAGATAATAGAGCAAAAAATTCTGTGCAAAATGAAAATGTGATTTTTATAAAATATTTTAAAAGAAGGGCAGTGGTCTGTCCTTTGTTGAGTGATGTACTAGTATATTAAGACATTTTTAGAAGAACTAAATCACAGATGTGCTTTTTAAAAAATATTTTTATTTTATTGATTTTTTTTTTTAGAGAGAGAGAGAGGAAGGTAGAGGAATAGACAGATAGAAATATGGATGAAGAGAAACATTGATCAGGTATACTGACCAGGAATCAAACCATTGACCTCTTGGTTCATAGGTTGAGACTCAGCCATGAGCCACACCAGCCAGATTGCAGATGTGATTTTAGAGAGTTAATGCTATAAGGGAGAAGAATTGTTTAAAAAAAGAGAAAGAGATGAAGAAACAAGGAAGATTTTTCCAAGGGGAAAAAACGCATTTAATAGTGAAGAGACGGTATTGTAAAGGGGCTGGAAAATAACTGTGTTCATAGAACTGACTGTAAGAGGAAAGATGGAGCTGGGGACTAAGGAAACCTAGTTTCCGTGGTTTGGAGGAAATGGAGTTGGGGGCTTCAGCTTGAGGAAGTATCTGATATTAAGTATCTAAAACTTAGCCAGGGGAATGCTAGTTTAGTTGGTAGAAGGGAAGCATTAGTGGATAAGTAGCCTTAAAAACCAGAACCAGGACTCAAAAGGGAAAAAGACCCTGTTCTTTCAAAGGAAATACTTCGGCATTAGAATGAAGAGTAGAAATAGCCAGCAGAAGGATATCCCCAGAAGTAATACAACAAAGAGTAGGCAGACCTAAGAGAAGTGAAAATCCTTGGCACCTGGCAGGGACTGTGCAATTCTTGAAAAATTGACCAAACTGATTTAAGTGTGACTGCTCATGATTACCTAATCAGATATGAATTATTTTAAATAACTAAGCTTGCACTGTATTAAACCATAGTTCTCTAGGACAAGATGAATGGAATTTGCTACTGCATATAAAGAAAAAGGAGAGAAAGGCAGATACGCAGGGCCCAGGATACACTATCAGAACTACCTCGTTTTCCTTTTTTTTACTTTTGGCTGATGAGCAGGAGTGAAGCAGAGAGCCAACCAGGAGGAGTACAAGGAACCTGGCTAGAGGGGGGAACTTGGTCTCATCTCTCTCTTACACCAAGAAAGACATGCCTAGATTTGGCCTGCCTATGGTGGGAAAAGTTTTTTTAAATAACCACCAATTTTGACAACTAGGTGGAATTATTTTTATTAGAGGCTGCATTTTTTTAAGCAGAAAAAAAAAAAAAATCAAGCAAAGCACACATGCCATTCCCTGACTACCAGTGTTCTACTCTAAAGGACATATATTTGTGGATCTATATATTTTAAAAATATATATTTCTTATTGATTGCAGAGAGGGAAGGAAAGGGAGAGAGAGAGAGATAGAAACAATAATGACAAGAGATTCATTGATCAGCTGCCTCTGCATGCCCCCTACTGGGGATTGAACCTGCAACCGAGGCATTGTGCGCTGACCTGGAATTGAACCATAACCTCCTGGTTCATAGGATGACACTCAACCACTGAGCAACACCAGCCAGGCTGTGCATCTACATTTTAAGAAATTAACTATCTCAGTACTCTTTCAAAATTCAGTTGTATAGAAAGATGCACCCTGCTGTTCATCATTGAAATCTTACAGGGACTATAGAATTAATTTAGCAACTGTTTCTTAGAAGCATTATGTAAATCATCACTGATATTGTCATTGCCATCATCATCATTATCATAAATCATTTTGCATTTTTAAGGCATTTTCAATATTTCAGAGAATATTCATACTTATTAGTTTTAGAAACCCACTCCATTTTTTAAAAATATATTTTATTGATTTTTTACAGAGGAAGGGAGAGAGATAGAGAGCTAGAAACATCGATGAGAGAGAAACATCGACCAGCTGCCTCTTGCACACCCCCTACCGGTGATGTGCCCGCAACCAATGTACACGCCCCTGACCGGAATCGAACCTGGGACCTTTCAGTCTGAGCCAAACCGGCTTCAGCAGAAACCCACTTCATTATTTCAAGTTTTTGAAATGAGCATTGACCAGAAGTAGGAATGAAATTAGAGTAGATTTTAAAGGAAGAACAACTTCTTATCACGTAATTTGGCCTAAAAATATGTAGTTTTTAAAAAAGGTCAGTATTCTTTAATTTATTATTAATACTGTGTTTCCCCGAAAATAAGACATCCTCCAAAAATAAGACCTAGCACATGGAAAGATAAGACATCCCCTGAAAATAAGACCTAGCGCAACTTTGGGAGAAAAAATTAATATAAGACACTGTCATTTTCGGGGAAACAGGGTATTAACACATGCTTTATCAGATTTTTATAATTTTATCTAATATTAATTTGAAAAGATTTAATTTATTCTTAGATAGCATTTTATTATACTTTTAAGCCAATTTATTTTCACTTGTAATACATCTCCAAAAAAATTTTTTTAGTGGGGTTTGGTAAAAAAAATAGAGTTTGACTTGCATAATTTTTATTACAGTTGGATTTTTTAAAATACATTTGTCTTCTAAAGCACACTTTTATGGCAATTTTCATAAGTTGGATTTTCTGAATTCTTAATAGATAATTTCTGAAAATTATCAATATAACTCATTTTTAACATGTAGATATAGAAGTGTGAGGACTCAGGAAAGAAAAGGAGAAATAGGAACACAGTAAGATTTTGGTAAAATTCTAGAACATTATTTTCCTGTATTAGATAGAGTCCATTGGGAAACATTTCTATAATAGTAATTGATATATACTGAATGAATTTCAAGGAAGTTTTCAAGGAAGCCTACTGAAAAATATTTTTTTTCATTAACTGTATCTTTAAGTAAAAAAAAAAAATACTTGCATGTATAAATTATGCTATGTTTAAAAAGTAGTCTTGTTATTTTATAGTCTTTATCTATAAGATTTAATGGATAATGAAAGATAAACTATTGTTTTTTGAAGAAATAGTGGAGGTATAATGAAATAAATAATGAATAACCCTCTTAATAAAAAGTAAGTTCAACTCTTAAAGGGATTGTCTTTTGATATTGACATTATGCATTATTTCTGTCAATACATAACCAGTATTTTTGTGTTTTTCAAGTATTTATAGTTAATATTAATTTATATTCAGGAAAGTTACTTTAAAACAGATTAAAATTTACCTTTTGTTGACTTCCAATTTCTCTTCTGAAATTAGAAAATGAAATACTTAGTAAAATGTTTTCATACCACCATGTTCTGTGTATAGTCATTCAGCATTTCTCATGAAAGACTTTTTTTTGTATGTGCACATATTAAAAAAGATATATAAAAGTTGAATAGATATAATTTTGAGTCATTCTATAATTTAATAATCCTTTTTGGGTAATTATTATCCCAGAAACATTTCTGGCTTTCGGTTTTTAGAAAAATTTTTTTTTGATTTGTTTTCTGAGCATTGCTTTTTTATAATGGATTTTTGTTACTTTATTATTTCACTAGATGCCCGATGCACAAAATTTGTGCAAAAGTAGGCCTTCCTTCCCCTAGCTACAAGCACTGGATTTCCCTCTGGCTTCCCTCGCAGCCCAGCTTCCATCCAGTCTAATTAGCATATTATTATAGATTTGCCAAATAGTTACAGATGCAGTGTTAATATCCTTTTCCTTGAAAATCATCTTGTCTATGAGAAAAGGATAAAACACTTAAGATGGGTAAAACTTTAATCTTCTTGCATTTATATTGTAAAATATGTTCACTTAAATAGTATTTAACAAATGTATGCGGTGCTATATGTAAATTAATAGTGCATGTAGAGATGAACAGTTAATAGTGGGTAAGAATGCACTTTTGGATGACAGTGCTATAAAAAACACAAGGAAATTATTACTATACAAGTCAAGATAATGGTTGCTTGGAGGTAGGCAGAGGTTAGGATTGGGGCTCATGGAAAGAAAGGCTTCTGAGAAGGTTGGCAGGGCTCTATTTTTCCTGGCTGCCATGGTGGTTACTTTATAATAACCAAGTGTTTGTTTTATAGAATGTCGCAGTGCCATACATTTATTTTGTGTGGTTTTCTATATATTTTTTAATTTTTAAAATAATGAGTTTTAAAACACAGTGAAGATGATTACCTTTAGAAACAGAATATGCACAGTGGTTTTTAATGTGTTTCCAGGCATCGTAGTGGTTCATCCTAGAGAATTGATGGCGGGAAACTTGGATGATCTCCAAACAAATCTGTTTGTTTCTTCTCTGTTATTACAGATTCTGTACAGTATGTCTCTTAGCCCCCTTTTCCAGATGGGAGTAAAATCAGAAATCTTGGCAAAAGATTTAATAATTATGAATTTACTTTGAAAGGGAATATAGAGACTTTATTATAGAACAATTATTTCGCCACATAGCTGGGAGCTATCTAGCTTGACCCTATTATTTTTATTCTGAGGGTAAACCATATTCATCCTACG